GGAGAGAGAGAGAGAGAGAGAGAGAGAGAGAGAGAGAGAGAGAGAAAGGAAGAGGAAGAAGAAGAGGAAGAGGTAAGGAACCCCATAGGATTCAAGTATACCGAGAGAGTATTATTTCTAATAATAATACTTATTATTAACCATATTGACCATGTTTCTAGCAGAACCAATCAGTAAGTTGTAGGTTCAGGAATAGAGCCTGTCTAAAAGATTAAAGTGAATAAATTTTATGTCAACTTATGGCTTCCATATGATCATGCACACTTGCATGCACACCTTTAAACATGTGCACTGATATATAAACATAAACATACATGTATACAAAAATATAAAGGAGAAAATATTAATGAATTTGGTAATCCAGTCTACTATGCAAGAAATAGTTGATAGTACTTAGAAGGGATTTAAAAAAATGATGTCCAAGGAAAGGATGGCTCAGGCAATAGAATATAATTGCCAAATAATGGTAATATGCTCTTTTAGCATGTGATTGGCAATTGAAGATTGTCTTATTCATTTATTTCTATATTCTCTTCTTGGTTCTTATAAAATTTGAAAGTACCTTTGAACTCATAATTAAAATTAGGTGATACGCCTATTATAGAAAAACAGATAAAGTGCATTTCTCTTCTCTGGGAAGTCTTCACTTACAAATCATTCTTCAGTCTATTGTGTATGCTTAACAGGGGAAGAAACAAGTTTAGAAAGAGTAAGAACTATGTCTAAATTCCTGGGAATTATAAGTTCCAGGGTTTTAAGTTAGGGACGATAGGTAGAAAAAAAACCCATAGTAGGGTTAACAATAGGAGAGTCATGATCTGTATTCCAGTCTGGACTGTGTGTGACTGTTAACCTTGCCTATTCACATCTGATACTGTTATGCCAAAAATTTAATACCCTAAGTACAAATGACTACTTTTCCTTTTTCATAGCATCATGAGGACTATAGAGATAGTCTATCCACTAAACCATAAGGACCACCTTTTAAAAGTGGATGTAGCAGTGAGTACCAGTAAGGAAGTCCAGGGAATACAAAGAGAAGTTAATCCTTGGGCCTCTAAGACCAGCCAGCCCACCCAATTTAGCGAGATTAAAACCACTGAGAGACACTATCTCAAAATATCAAGGTGGAGGTGATGGAGACATGAAGGTTCAGGAGTTATGAACTAACTATTAACCACTAACTACTCTTCTTAATGACCCAGTTTTCAATCCTAGTACCCACATGGTGGCTCACAGCAACATGCAGGCAAAATATTCAAATATATAAAATAAAAAGTAATTTAAAAAATCACTTATTTGCAAGCATGCACAAAAAATATAAAATCAATACTCTTAAGTTCAAGTGGTACAGAGAGAAGTAGTAAATTCACTTGAGACATTATGCTGTGGCTGGGCAGTGGTGGTGCATACCTTTAATCCTAGCACTTGGCAGGCGGAGACAGGCAAATTTCTGAGTTTGAGGCCAGCCTAGTCTACAGTGTGAGTTCCAGGACAGCCAGGGCTGTACAGAGAACCCCTGTCTTGAAAAACAAAAACAAACAACAAAAGAAAGTGATAAATTGTACTGTGGTTCTTCAAAGGGAATCATGTAGAAATACTATCTAAACCAAAAATGTCACACCCATATACACATAAGAGAATGAGAATAAACACTCATATATATTCTTAAATATACATAACATAATTATTCATACTAAATCAAACTGAAAGCAAAACACATATTAAGGTTCAATAAAACATACTATGGAATATCTATACAATAGAATAATTGAGCCTTAAATATATAATTTTGATTTCCAGATGAGTTAAACTTACATTCTCTAAACTAACTCAGTAATGAAGTAGTATATATTGTATGTTATATTTGTTGAAGGTCAAAAATGGTAAATTCTTAGAAGAAGCTGAAAGATCAATGGATAGAACTAATGTTGCAGGTTTACAGATGGCAAATATATTTTAAAATTGATTATTTTCATGGTTTCAGAAATCTGACCAGGCTAAAAGCTGTTGTAAACTCTAAGCAGAAAAAATATATGATGTATGCATTATATGTCAATAAAACAGTTACAGAATGGTGACATAAATGCTGACCACGGTATTTGCCTGTGGTTGAGGCACTAGCACTCTTTCCAGGCTGAGGCAGGATGATTGTGAGATCACCCCACCCAAATTAAAAGGAAAAGAAGGACAAATAGAGTACACTGGATAGAGGCTCTGGCTTCCAGTGTCCATGTATCTCGTGGGAGAGTAGTGAATGATCATTGTGAGTATTAGGAAGTCTCCATGTGACCGGATGTACATGCTCTTAGCTATTTTTATAATCTATGTTTCAATAATTCACTTTCAAGATTCTCCCTCTCCTCTCCTCTCCTCTCCTCTCCTCTCCTCTCCTCTCCTCTCCTCTCCTCTCCTCTCCTCTCCTCTCCTCTCCTCTCCTCACCTCTGTTCTCCCTCCTCCACTCTCATCCCTGCCTCCTTGCCTCCTTTTTTTTTTTTCAATTAGAAAGCTCTCAAGTCTTGATTTTTTTCCTTGGAAGACAAAGTCAGGCTCATGATCTCTGTCTTTCTCTCTGTCTGGTTCTCTGTCTCCCATCTCCCTTTTATATCAATGCCAAGCTGAATTCTAGGGCATAGAAGAAGCAGAGAGGGACAAGTTTGAGAAGTTATCTTTTGTTTCAACTGAATTTGTTTCTTACTTCATTCACTGTCATGATTATAAAAATAATTCTACTTTATATTTTGGAGCTGAAGGTTCCAATTTTTTGTAGGAAAAAAACAAAAGAATATTGTGTAGTTTTATTATTCTATATGTGTTGCTTTTGATGTTATTAAGTATTTATTTTCTTTTTATTAATTAGGGATTGCTGTTTGTGCATGTAAGTATGCATGCCAACATGGGCCAGAAAAAGGCGTCAGATCCAACGGAACTGGAATTGCCTATAGTATGAGCCTCTTAATGTAGTGCTGGGAACTGAACTCAGTTCAGTGCTCTGGAAGAGTAGCAAGTGCTCATTATTGCTGAGGCAACTCTCCAGCCTACATTTTCATAGGTATCTTGGGTACCTATGGCATTTCACTCTCTGGGGTACTGACAGCATTTTGGCTTTTATTTTTTTCCCTAGCATATTGTAACTCCTAACATGAATCTACCACATACAATCTAACTAATTCAGTGTTATTAGAAATACTAATTATTTTGAAACTTTACTATTATGAACAATGGCCTCATGAAGCATTGACATCTCACATGTTGGCTGCATACCTTATTACTTTAGAATTAGTTCTTCATACATGATCCATGGAAAATGATATACTACATTTGTAAGATATTTAATATTTTACATATAACACCTTCTGAAAATAATGCAGATATTTGTGTTTAAAATCAAGATATAGTGTCTGTTTCTCTCTAGATCAGTAGTTTTTTTTTTATGCTATGGTCCTTTAATAATTCTTCTCATTTTTGGTAAATCCCAACCATAAAATTATTTTGATGGCTACTTCATAACTATAATGTTTTTCTGTTTCGAATTGTAATGCAAATATCTGATCCACAGCATACTTGATATTCAACTCCAGTGAAAGCCTCATTCAACCACATAGGGCTGGCAAACTGTAGGTTAAGATCAACTGCTCTATTGACAGCATCCTTTGCCTTACAGAAGCTTTTCAGTTTCATAACGTTCCATTTATTATTGATCTTAGTTTCTGAGCTACTGTTGTTCTGCTCAAGAAGTAGCAATTGTACCAATGCATATAACTATCAAACAGAAAAACATGGATAATGATATTGGAAAGTATCAGGACATAGAATTCACATATAAACAGATAAAGGAAGGCTCTGGCTTCTACAGGTATAACTTCTGACTCTCCTGTGATGTTGTGCATCATCAATAAGGACAGATTGTATGGTCTATGACTAGAGTAAAATTATATGGCCTGGGTGTGCTCCCATCCTAGGCCTATGCTTAGCCTAATCCTTGGTTCCTAGGTACTAATCAGACCCTGCATGGTAAATCATATGTCTCCTTCTAGGACTGTCCATAGTTTACCTTCAAATACTTCATACATTATGGAAATATATTTAAATTAGTATGCAAATACAAGCAAAATAGATCTAAAATCTCCTTGCAAAATATCATATGTTCATTCCTTGGAATCTCCTGACAGAAGATTTACCTAATTAGCACAGTCCCTGTGGCCAAGACCTAAATCCTAGCTTGTAAAAGTTTTCACTAACAGTAGGATACAAACTTTAGATAAGTCAGAGGACTAAAATGACCTGTGCCACTTCTGTATGAAGATAAAATTGCTGGTATCATTTTGAGGCATTTTAAAAGGTTTTTTTTTTTCAGCTTTTTCCTCTGCAACCACCCATGACTAAAGTAATTAATATATAGCATTCCTTTATTTGACACAGATATGTCATATGTTTTGTTTGCCTCCCTTTTTTTCTAAGACAAAACTATCAGAAATGGTTTAAGGAAAGAGAATGAGATGTAAGGCAGAGGAAAAACATGACCCACATTAAACAGCCCTTCCTGCTTCTCTTGCAGGCAGAAGGTTGAATGATGGCCAGTGGCATTCTGTCAGCATCAATGCCAAGAGAAATCGTGTTACTCTCACACTGGATAATGATGCTGCATCCCCAGCTCCAGAAACCTCCTGGCTACAAATTTACTCTGGAAATAGTTACTACTTTGGAGGTAAGTTTTCTGCCTTTGAGACTTCATAAAAAGAAACAAGGAACAGATTCCAACCCATGCTTTGTCAACTAGGCAACCCTCCCCATAGCTATGCATGCACTTGTGCAGCTGAATTCAAGCACCAAACTGTGGAAAAGCAAAACCTCAGACAACCGTGCAAATGTAAGCTATCTATGGAAAAACGAACTAGAGCTGGGTTCTATAACTTACCAAAAGTGACTAATGTAGATATGCCAAGCTTCTTGGTCTCACACTTGAAAGGAGACACTCAGCTGAAAACTTAGAGAAAAGGAGTTGAGAGTCAGCAAATACCCATTAGAGGTAAAACTCAAGTGGGAGGCACCAACAACTGGCTCAGTCATCTAGGTTATCCACACTTATGGTGGGTGGAGCAAAGTATAGAAGAGCTAGAGACTCCAAGAGACAAGGGGAGGAGTCATTGCCATTTCTGAGTCATCATTCTTTCTATGGTTTGCTGAACCCTTGTAACACTTCAAATAACACAAACAAAACCAAACTGGAGTAGACAAAACTTATGTGACATTTTACCATTTTTTATAAAGGCACCCATGTTGAATATTTTAAAAGCATCTTTTACTAAAAGAGATGCTGTCTACTTCTGAAGTCAGCGATCTGTCTTAGAGAAGCCACATCTAACTGGAACTTAATCCATGTGGATCTCTACCCTGGCACTCCTACAATATAATTCCTGGACTTCTTTTCTAGAACAAGCTCATTTTCAAAATTATAGGGAGATATAAACAAGAGGAGAATGCAGGCTTATGAAAGCTTAGTAGTGGAGGTCTTATTCAGCATGGAAAGGCATTGGTCTCCATGCATGGCACCACATGCATATAAAACCCCATGCACATTGGACTGTCTGCTCATGTTTCCCCTATACAATATAAAGAGTGACACAAGCTGGTTCAGATCTTGCAGATGTGAGCATGAGATAACCTTGCCCTAGGAATAACAATCCCTTCCCATGAGGTAACTGTAGACAAGCATTGTATAATAGCATACACTGAAGAGATAGCAAAAGCTCCTTTCTCTCAAACTGAGGACATGAGTTGTATCCTTGGAGCCTGTAGTGAAAGAAGAGAATGGGCTCCACAATTCTGTCATCTGACTTACATATATGGTGGCATACCTGCTCTCTGTTTGGCTCATATATAATAATAAAGATAATAATAACAGCAATGAAACGCACACTGTAGTTACCTAAGGCCTGCCACATAGTAATCATGCACTCTACTCTGAGCTCTACCCCAAACCTTGTAGTCTGTTAGGTCCAAATCTATAAATCACCCCTTCTTCCTAAGGAAATGTTTGACAGGCTTGAAACACACACGCACACACACACATACATACATACACACACACACACACACACAAATACTTGCACATGTCCAAAAATACTTATTTAAGGTCTCTTTGGAAGGGAGCTGTGTGGAATAAGATCAGTGAGATTGGATTTTAGCATGAGGAAGGAGTGTATTCTTTCACCCACAATCACCGTTACAGACTTTGCGATAGCATATACTTATAGCTGATGATATGTCTATATAATACATAATAAGGCTGCTGTTTATTGAGATAAAATAATTTGTAGGTTGGAGGTATGGCTCAGTCATAAAGCTCATGTTGTGTAAGCATACAGACCTAGATTTGGACCCTCTTGAGCCCTCAGAAAGCCATACTCTGTACTCTGTAGCACAACACTGTAATTTCCCTGCTACCCATGCCAGCGAAGCAGGGATATTCTGTAGCAAACAGAATACCCATCTTCAGACAAGGTAGAAAGCAGCAACTGCTGTAGTTGTCTTCTAATCTCCATTCTCCTTGCATTGGCTGTGGCACTTGCACTTGCACACACACACACACACACACACACACACACACATATATTCACCACTCAAAATCATAATCATCTGTGCGTAGCAGTAGAGACAGTGAGTATATGGAGGAGTATGGATCAGTGAAAGGAAATGAATGGGAACAGATGATGAACAATGGTCTCAACTCAAAGCTGTGCATTCTACATTACAAATGGTATTTCATCAGTGAAGAAAGAACGGTGGTCAGGAATTTATTTCCAGGCAAAATGGCTTTGAGTAATCATGTTACAGTAATCTTCTGAAATATCACAGAGGTATAATAGCTCTCCTCACCCTAGCTAGAATATTGTCAAATTCTGATGAGTTTTCAGGGTCCTAGACTTAGAAGAAAACATTTATTTGTGATATATGTGTTTGAACGAATCCTCAACATACAGACTATAAACATAAGGAAGGTGAAAAATGAGCTTCAGAAATAATAGTCAACTTCCATAAATTCTTTCTTCAGCCTCAATTAGAATTTGTAGCATCTCTTTACTTTACATTGTGTCTGTGAGCTATTAACCAGATGCTGGGCCTTGGCCTTCTGTCTATTGGAGATGTCTGAGATAATTCCCCTTTATTTATGGCATATTGCCATGTTTAAAAGCTCATATTCCTTTATGCTCTGAGCCTACTAAAATCACTGAGATGGAATTTGTAAGAACACACATATTCACTTAACTGCCTAGTCTTCACCTGTCTTAATGAGGAGTAGGTTGGCCTAGCCACAGGTGATGCTAAATGGATGTAAAGCCTTTATCCTTTTAAAATAATACTCAATAAGAGATGTGGTGTTAACCTTTTGCATGTGATATTACAGCCTATAACTATGTGCACTTAAGCCCATCATTCTTTTAATGTCTGGATTTGCTTTGCACAGCATGTCAAAAATCCTGCTTAGTTCCTGAGTATAATTTTCTTAGGAGCTAGACCTATTAATCCTCCACAATTAACCAAACAATTACTCAGTGCTCATCCTTACAAAGTATAATTTCCTTAGAAAATGTAGTTCAGAATTATATTGTGAATTTAGATGTGTTTTCAGACACTGGCAACATTTCCAAACACAATATATAAATAGTATGTGAAGGATGCTGTTCAAAGGCAAAACAAATAGATTTCCAATAGGAAAGAAGTGTGTGTGTGTGTGTGTGTGTGTGTGTGTGTGTGTGTGTGTGTGTGTTGCTGACTCAGTTGGTTAAATGCTTACCATGAAAGCATGAGAAACTGATATTGGATTCCCAGTACCCACATAAAATACTGGGCATATTGTAGAACCACTTGTGTTTCAGTGGTGGCAAGGCTGAGATAAGCAGGCTCCTGAAGCTCACTGACAACACAGCCTTTTATTCCACTAAAAAGGCTCCCAGATGAGTAAGGAGTCAGTGTCCAACAAAGTAAAATGAAGACTGAGCCCCAGAGCTAAGAACCAGCAAGTTTAGATAAATTCGTAAGCCCCTGGTTCACAAACAGACCTTATCTCAAAGAATAAAATGGGAATTGGTAGAGAAAGACATCCTGATGTCAGTCTATGGCTTCTACATGTATCCACGTGAAATACTGCACCTTCTACATGCACTCACATAAAACACTGCATATACTACATGTACTCACACGAAACATTGCATCTTCTTCATGTACCCACATCTTTAGGCATGGAACACAGATAAACACACAGACATACACAAACACACACACACACACACACACACACACACACACACAGATGGTTAAGGTAAATGTCATACCCACAATATTCTTTTTGGCTGTTTTTTCCTTTATATTGGCTGAGTATCCATATTTTACATCATTTTTGCACCTCCACCTGTGCTAGGATTTACAACAAATGCATTCCCTGTTGTGAATAAAAAAATGCCCAAATAATTAGACCTTAAGGTCTTCCATCAATAGGTTGCCAAAGCAATGACAGATCATTTCATTGCTCTTCATGTTTTTTTCTCTGTCCCACAGGGTGCCCTGACAATCTCACCGATTCCCAATGCTTAAACCCCGTTAAGGTTTTCCAAGGCTGCATGAGACTCATCTTTATTGATAACCAGCCCAAGGACCTCATTTCAGTTCAGCAAGGTTCCCTGGGGAGTTTTAGTGATTTACACATTGATCTGTGTAGCATCAAAGACAGGTAATTATTGTCTTGTCTCCTCTGTTCCTCCACCCCTTCCCATTCTCACTGTTATGAATGTGAATTTATTTAAGCAAAATTCTAATCCACAGACATTAACCACATCAAACATAATTGAGTTGCCTAATAGAAAATATTTCTGAAAGGATTTCAGGCCCATAGAAAAATAGGTTAGATTATTTGAGTCTCTCTCCATGTTGACTTGCAGTAAATGAGATATGCAAAGTAAATCAAAATACAAATTTGTGAAAGGATTGAAATTTATGCATAAACATTTGATTACATTGAATTTTAAACTAAAGCACAGAGGAGGATGTTTTTTCCTTAATACCAAAAGCTTCAGTAAATCTGTAGTTCAGGGTTTGCCTGTGCTCAACATGGATGTCCTCAATTTGAGACAGCTTGTCCTAGCTGATGCAAATTCCACCTATTGTTTCTTTAGTTGCAAAGAGATCAGACAGTAACCCAGTGAGAATCAGTACTTTTATTATACAGCCCAATGATTCAGCATGACACTCAATTTCTAGTTGCATCTCTCTTGGGACTTGATTCCTCTTATGGTAGAAGTTTCTAGATTTAAAGTCAGAAAACCAAAGAGAACGGATGCTGAATTTTAGCATTATTTTGCTATGTTCCTTTTGATGCACATACCTGCTTTTTTTCTTTAGTAATTTCTTCTATCCGTCTTAAGATATTGAAGAGCCAGAGGGTTAAAAGAATTTAAGTGCAAATTTATGTGTTGGTGTTAGAGGTCCTTGGCTACAATAATTAACTAATGCTATAAATTGAAATATTCCCTGATTTGGGAAACATGTGGCCAGGACCCATGTCATATTGTCCCTTCCATAACCATGCAGAACTTGGCAGGAATGAAAATAACAATAAATTATGCCTGTGTCTGGAGATACCTGCAACTTGGGTGCATTAATGACAAATTCATACATGTTTACAATCTATAGGATTCTGTAAAATTCTTACAATGATCTAAATTTTTTTAATTTTCTCTGAATTTTACAAATGATGAAATTGATGTTCAGAGAAACATAATTTCAAATATTCATTGCATTAGGATTTCAGTTGGCTTGCTTCTTTGAGATCTGGGTAACAGGAATGCAGAATATCACCTGTGTGAATGATTTTAATATGTCCCTCCATGGATTAAAACAGAAAGTCCCCATCCAGCTCCAACCCCATCACTACTGAGCAGGTGATTTCTTTCATTGCTGTGACAGAAATGCATAATAAAATATTATGAAGTGGTTCATGATTTCACGTCATACAGTCTATCCTGGTGAAGAGAGAACAATAGCAAGATTAGGTTGTAACTTCTCACATTGTGTCCACAGCAGTGAAAAGTCAGTGGAAAGGAAACCTCAAGGCTCATCTCAGGGACCTACTGCCTCCATGGTTATTTTACCACCCAAGGGTTCCAAAACCTTTCTCAACATCACCATCAGCTAGAGATCAAATTTCCAAATACATTAACCCGTGGAGAAATTTCTCATTTAAGCCATAGTAGTCGTATGATACCATTGCATCAACACTGCAACCTGTGGAATTTCCCTTTATTCTCAGACTTTCTAGCACCAGAGTAATTTTTAATCATATCACATGACGTTGGGAGGCATAGTGTTTTTTTAAATTTTCAAAACACAATTATCCACTGTTGTTCAATCTTCCAACATTCTAGAACCTATGGTAGTGACCACAGATTTTGTAGCCATGGAGAAGGGTACAGAGAGATTTTAAGTCCTAGACAAAAGAATTGGAGTAGGAAATTCAAGAATAGTTGTAGAAATAGAGAAAGAAGAAAAAGAATGTTCTTCCAAATATGGAATTGGGCTAAAGTATTGAAAAAATGTTGAAAGCCCAATAGTATGGGGCAAGAGCATTTGGCAGTTTCTAGCTCATTCGATAGCTCCTCCCAAATTCTTTTTCTGTTCATATGCTGGGGGATTTTCATGTTCACAGTCCTTCCCTTCCAGTTATTCCTGATTATGACAGGTTTCCAATATTTCTCTGTCAAATTTTATGTATGCCAATATTTTAGAAATATTTTGTTATTATTTTGGTGTATTGTATGTGTATCTGTGTATGAGTAAGTGTATCCACTGGAAGAGAATTATAGGTTATGAGTAGCCTGGTGGGGGTACTGGAACCTGACTAAGTTCTCTGAAAGACTAGTACATGATCTTAACTGCTGAGCTACCTCTCCCCTACTACTCTGCTGATGCGTTTTTCTTCTTTCTCCTCTACTTCTACATAGCCACCAAAGCCAGAAAAGTAATAGATACTATTAAAAAGTATAAAACTAATGAAAAAATAACTCCAATGTTAAAAGAATATAAATAATGAAATGTATAGGGCATATCTGGAGCCCAAGGTTAATACCCCAAGTTGTCTAAGCTTTGTTGTTTGTGTGGACTTTACTATTTTTTATTATGACTACTTTGAAGTATTAGGGACTGAATCTAAGGCTCCACACAAAATGGAAAGAGTGCTAATATTGAGCTAACATTTTTATCTATTTTTATTTTGAAAATAAATTTTTCTACACTCCCTCTTACCTCAGGCTCCCTTGCAAGTACCTGAAATACAGACCTATATCAATGGGACATTCAGATTTAATTTTTCTTTCATTCACTAAAACCATTTTATTCTGTCAAATGATATTCTAGGCCTGTGTATAACAGATAAGAGCAATATTTGAAGATTAAATTAAGTTTATAAAATCAAGGTCTCTGTGGGTGGGAAGAGGCACATTGTTCTCTTGCATTGCTTTGGCTCTTCCTTTTCTATTGCTGAATACTAAGAACACTGGGACTTGCACAGTTAAGTAGCTTTCTTCTGCTAAGAGTTCCATCCACCTTACTTTCAGCAGATATTCTTCAGTATGACTGAATTGGTAGCTTTTGGAATAGATCTGATTGCTTCTTTAATTTAGATGGATAATGTGGTGTTTTCCTTGTAGATATAACATAGATTTGAGAGTTTGTTGTGAAAGTTCCCATTCTCAATTACAAGCTATTTCTCCAAGTTTATATTCACCCTTTCCCTTTTTCTTGCATCATTCCTATGCCTTGCAAAGATCATGCAGCAGGAAAATACTCCATAACTAGGTTTATACGGATGAGTCTGGGGAATATTTGTACTTTTACTTTCTACAATCGACCTGTGGGAGGTCAGGCAGAATGTGTAACTAATGACTTGTGAATGTGACAACTTTCTACATCCAAAACATGTGACAGAATTTCCCAGCAATTCACAGTAAACATGAGAAGTTGAATTGCAAGTCCTCCAGTGTTTCCCCTAAACGTAATATGTCCAAACTGTAAAAAACTCATGCACCACACATCTAAAAATACAGTATTAAAGTTTTTAAAAATGATTAGAACTATTTACACAAGGACAAAAACAAGATAGAAAAAAGAATAAAAGTAAGTATAGAAAATGTATTTTCTCCAAATTTGGTATCTAACAGCTTTGGTGTCATATGGAAATGTAATTTTACAAACCTCCTCAACTTGGGTTCCAGTCAGGAGCCAGTGTTTTAAGGTCATAGATTCATTTTCTTGTTACTGTGATAAGACACCCTGATAAAAGCAACCAAGGAGAAAAAGTTTATTGTAACTCACATCTCTAAGTTACAGTCCATCATAGAAGGGCAGTCTATGCAGATAGAGGTTAAGAAGGCTGGACACACCACAACGATAGTCTAGAACAGAGTGAAACAAATACATTCACATATACTACCCAGCTAACTTTCTCAACTCTTAGATGATTTAGGTAGCAATCCCAAGGAGTAGTGTCAGCTGTTTTTAGGTTGTGCTTTCTTGCATCAACTAACTTAATCAAAGCAATTATCCACAGGCATGTTCACAAACCAACCAGAAAAGGATAATTGAAACCCTTCTCTGGTGGTGTTAGGTTGTATTGACACCTAAAACTGACGATCCATGAAGAGGCTCTTTATTGTAAACAGAGTTTGTAATCTAAAACATGGCCTCAAACATTAATTTTTTTACCTTTCATCTTTACTGATGCTCTGAAGTTCATAAAAGAAACCATTCTGGTAAATTGAAGACATATTTTCTCCATTCACTCCCAGTGAAACTTGTTTGAGTTAGTTGTCTCATTGCTGTGCCACGTACCTAGGGATGCAATGTAAGTTAGAAAGGGTTTGTTCAGATTTCTGATTTGATTACACTATGATGACTAGGAAGCCACACTATAATAGTGAACCAGCTGATGGCATCATGTCTAGTCAGGAGTCACAGAGAGATGAATGCTGATGCTCAGCTCACTTTCTGCTTTTTATTCAGTTCAGGATCCAAGTCCACAGAGAGTGCCACCCACACTGAGTTCTGTGTGAAGGATTTTAGAAGCTTTTACATGAAACTGGAGCCATCACCACATGGAAATTTTTTCAGAAGGCCTGAGTTTCATTCCTAGCATCCACTATGAGGGACTTGAAACTCTGTAATTTCAGTCCATTGGTTGGCTGTGAGCATCTGTATCTTTACTGGTTAGATTCTGGGAGAGCCTCTCAGGGGACAGCTATATCAGGCTCCTGTCAGCAAGAGTTTCTTGGCATCACCAACAGGGTCTGGGTTTGGTGTCTCTAGATGAGATGTATACCTAGGTGGGTTAGTCTCTGGATGGCCTTTCTTTCAGTCTCTGCACCACTCTTTTTCCCTGCATTTCATTTAGAAAGGAAAAATTCTGGGTTAAAATTTTTGAGATAGGTGGGTGGCCCCTTCCTTCAACTGGCAGCTGTGCCTATCCACTGGATATGGTCTCTACACATTCTGTCTCCCCTTTGTTGGCTATTTCAGCAAATGTCATCCTCATTCATTCCTGGGATCCTCTTGCTTTCCTGGCATCTGGGACTTTCTAGTGGCTACCTCAGTTCCCCAACCCCCACTGCTACACAAATTTCCTGACCCTCTGTCCTCCCCATCTCCTCCCACACCTGATGCTGCCCCCCTGTTTTGCTCCCC